CGTGTCAAAACAGGCACAAAAAGCATTTGATGTGCCCACTTGTTTGTACGCCCGGATGTATTTGCAACAACGGTTGGATCAGAGATGACAAGAGCGGCGATTGTGTCCTTCCCGACAATTGTCCCAAAAAATGATATTCACATCAATTATGTTTTATTTGCTATTAAAATAAAATATTAATTTGTTGTAAAGATATTTAATTAAAATGTAATTTAATTTAATTTTATTTAATTTTCGAGCTACTCTAGAGCCACTATTGTATAGTGAGGTTATACTTTAGTAATAGCATGACTATTGCTATCACAACAAAATGTATACTGTATATAAATTGCTATACTTATAACTCGGACAGTAGTGACTATTTACTATTGCATTTCTACATGGCAATCTCTGTACATAACAGTTACCATGTCACAAATACGCCATATGAACACCACACTGAAAATGAGTGAAAATAATATTAAATCAAATGAAACAAATCTTTTTTATTTAAAATTTTATTTGTAAAATATTTATAACATTTAACATTTTTAGTTATAATAAAGATATGTTTGTATTGAACGCGGACTCAAAGTATGGGAAACTTTTTGGTGGGTTTGGGAGTCATTGATAGTAATATCTATGGGATCGTCGCCTAAATTGAGTGCAATAACAACAGTCCCTCCGTCTGTGCGGACAAAACTCGTTGTTTGCAATTTATCCACATTTTGGTCGTGTGTTTGATATACGCGTTGAGAACCGGGAGTCAAGAATTTGCTGTAATGTCCCAAAGCATAGAAAAACGGCTGTTTGTAGTACTCCTCACTCGTGGCGTTTACTATAACGGGTGAATCGACAAAATTCTTGACCCAATTCGGGCCACCGGTTGTGTCCAACGCCAGGTTCCAGTCAACCCATCCGCTCGACCAATGGTTTAGATCCTAATTAATTAGGTTTTATTATTATTATATAAATTATAAATATATCTAAAGCCTATGAATACAAACAATTATAATGTCTTTGGCGTATCTCTCAAAGAGACTCCAACTGCCGAGTCGGACGTGCTCTGGCTGTCCGTCCCTCCACTCCTCACAGGCCTCAGTACTCATGAGGTATTTGTTTGGATTGACTGCTCGTGTCTTATCCAATATGTCGATCACTTGACTGCTATTCTGGTTTTGATACCAATGGAAAGCACTTCCACTCACGTATTTGGCCGCCTCTTTGTCGCCGTATATGACTGACGCCCAGTCGTGTAGTTTCTTTATGTTGTCGTCGTATATCATGAGTTGTGTAGTATTGATGCCATACCCGGCCTTCTCTAGTGTTGGCCCCAAATCTAATTTTATGAAATCTCGTTGAAGTTCTGGAGTAAAACCTAAACAATTAAATCTAAAGTGCGGTTTGAATGCGTTTA